AAGCTTTATACTTTTTTATATAATCAATGATTTTCTCTCGTTGCAGGGAAACAAATTACTACATGATTCAGGACTACAATGATAATCTATACGGTTCACATTACGTTTCGAGTCAAGAGCCGTCCGGCAGCGAGGCATATCCAAGTCTCGGCGATCAATGCACCTCAAGTCGGGGTGGTAGGTTGCGACCGTCACAATTGTCACCGGCTTCGTCGAGTAACGCTTTCAACAATTTTATGCCCACGATGGCGTTTGTTAACAACACTCTTATCAGGGGAAGATTCATGAGCATCGGCAGGGACATTCTACCACCGCCACCACTACCAGGAGAAATCATGTCTCCTCTCTCCATGAATGGTATGTTAGTTATGTTAATTATTATCACTTATAGTAATCGTATTTGAGTGAGTTTCTTAAAAAGGTAACAAGAGTAATAATAATTTATTTTGCACGATGTTTTCAGGTTTTATATCTCCACACTTGCTGAACAGGAGCGGAAGTCGGTTGGATAGTCCTCTATTAAGCCAACGTTTGACACCAACATCGTCGAATCATTTAGGCCAACTGGGAGCGGACGAGACAGATCTAGCATTGCAGGATTTTCCACTATTTCCGCTCATCTCTGGTCTCACCCTGTCAAGATTCATCTCATTTTCGTGCAACATCCCGCCACTTCTACCATCGCTGTCTCTTTCATCGGTCACCAACGGATTCACGGCGCCGTTATTTTTGACAAACAGCGATATCGCGAAGATGATTGCAATCAATCTGCCAAAGTTTAGGTCTCTGAAAAGCATTGTGAATGGTCAGCTAAAGAAATCCGTCAATCTGAAATATTCCATTGGTCGATCCGTGAAACAACTTGCTCAAAACGATTCGCGAAGGTACATTTATATCTATATTTTATGATTTTTAATTATGTTAGTTAATTTGTTAATTAATTAAGAAGGAATGAAGTACTTTTGGATTTTACAAAATCTTTGATATTTTGAATAACTCTATGTTAGTGAAAAGTGTGTAACATTGTTTTATCCAAGACAATTGTTTTTCAGGCACAAAACTGCGCAAGATAAAGAAGATCGAGCAGAAGGAGGTGGAGCGTATGAATGCGCTCAACGACGTCGTGTCCATCCTGGCGCACTTTGCGTTGCCGTCAAGTTCAGCGACAGTGATTTGCTATTGGCATTGTGGGCGATCCCGGGGTGAGAGGTATTGTTCAGCACAGCCTCGTCTCTTCGTCGGCATGATCTTGATTCTGATTTTTGCTAAAGTATTGGGTCTTTGCGGCCTGATCGTCGCCGTACACCAAGTAAACGGTCAGTAGTGGCATTCTATTATTTGCCATGGTTCCATACAAGACATGTCGCTTGTAACTAATAACGTTTCTCGACTATTATTATGCTACAAAATTTGTTTCGACATATTTTACTTAATCACGTTACTCCATGCATACCTAATCTAATTACCATCTCGGCTCATCTCTGCGCGCG